GAGTAGGTTTGAGGTCACGGGTGCAGTAAGTGCTGATGAGAACCACCTTTTTTTTTTGCCTAATTTCCAGGGATTTCATCACAGAATAATTTCTCCTAAAGTCAGCAGAGAGTGTGGAAATGTAAATTGATCTTTAATATAAGGAGGACAGGGGGTTAAATCTGATCCTTTTGTGAGGAGGTAAATCATTTAATGACTTGTCAAGTCAGAGTCGTATCCTCAAAGATTCTATAACGATGGATGTCACTTGGGGGGGAATTAAAAAGAAGACCATTTTTTGGAGAGAGAGAAAAAGATAAAAAATCAGGAGTGCGACTGCTGTGACCCCCCCCCCCCCACACCCCTCCTCCCCCAGCCCCCTCCAACCTCACGGTCACTGTGTATTTAAATAACTTTGTGGCCCATTGATCTCCAGGGAGAGGCCCTGTTGGCTCCGATTTAGCACGCAGAGGAATGCTAGAATGTCTGTGGCTTCCAGCCAGGAGCCTTTTCCTGGCCGGACCTTTGACTCCTGCCACTGCAGCAGAGTGAGGCCGGGGTCAGAGGATGGGGGATGGGGAGCGAGCGAGGCTAAAGTCGGCAGCGACCACCTGCTCACCCTCTGATCTAATGACCTCGTCATCCCTGCGCTACAACACACACACACAAACACACACACACAGACGCAGTCACTCGGAGGCTGCCGTCCGACACCGACAGCCACTAAAACTCCTGCCCCTGCTGGACATTTGTGTTTGACCACGAGGCTCCGGCCACAAACGTGTGCAGAGCAGCCCATGGTCATGCTCCGTGTCCGGGGTAAACACACGGGGAGCCGCGGGGTGACTGTACATGTCAACACACACACCAAAACACACTCTACAAACACAAACATACGGGCAGCAGATGAACAGCAGGTGGCGCTAACCCAAGTGTAAACGTTGTTTTGGCAAACAGATCCAGAACTGGACATGTGGAGCGGAACTCGCCAAAAACTGAGCATCCAAAAAGCTAAATTTGGCTGAAATTTTTAATATAAATAATGGAGACCAGTGAGCAGACGTTAAAAATAATATTAGAAAATATATTAAAGATTCATCCCAAGGTATGCCAAATAAAAAAAATAATAGACTAGAACAAGGTCAGAGCAAAAAAAACAACAACAAACAAACTACCATTTACAGAGAAAGTAGAGAAAGACTTCACGGTTATCGCAGACTGATGCTGTTAGCTGCTAAGCTAGCACCAAAATGCTTAAATGACGCATATGAACATAAGCAAAGGCAATAAAACAAACCAAATTTAGGTGCTAGCTAAAAGGCTAACATACTTTTCTTTGAAAACATTTCCCAAGGATAAAAATAAAATACAGCCCCAGAATGGCTTCCAAACCACACTTTGGACAAACCTAATGTCGTTCATACAGTAATGAGGCTTCTTGTTTCTGGACGTGAGCTAGCTAGCATTTTTACGACTTATTGGCGTCAGTGTTAAAACTTGGAAACAGGCTGTTGCCTTCTCCTTAAGTTCCCTCTTTCTTCATCTGAACCTTATTTCCTAGTAACCGTAGAATCAGCATCATGACATCATCTGGCCTGTGCTAACCTCAGCTCTGGCAGGGATGAAAAAAAAAAGAAAAAAAAAAAGAAAAAAAAGCACGGCCCAGGAGAGGCAAAGTGTATTGGAAGCATTTTTAAAAATAAATGTGAAGCAGTAAAACGCTGAGTGACTAATTAGACTGGACGGCTGGGTCTGGCTGTGAGACCATCGAGGGCGAGAGTCACAAACTCTGGAGCAGCCGGACGCAGAGGAGGCTCAACATGAGGCTGCTGGCACCAGGGCTGTGGAGTTATATGCACAGAGGGGGAAGGGGGGAGGGGGGGCAACGGAGAAACAGAATATGTCTCTGTGTGCGGTAGGACCTCAGAACCAGATCAGACCAGTGGCCCAGGGTTTCAGTCTACATACCTTTGTCCACACACACACATATATAGGATCTTACTGCACACCAGAGGATTTTCAAACTCCAGCAGACGTATAAAAAAGTTGGCTAATGGAGATACAATGACAGATGTAAAACACAGACCAGATCCAGGCAGTTCTCAGAGGCCGGGTTTGATGAAGTGATCCAGTGGACCACGGGTCCAGGACGTCAAACTAAAGCATTCAAGACAAAAAATCTGGAAAACTGATTAAGTCTCCACTTCTTAACTAACTCGAAATCCGACTGGAAGAACACGCGACTCAACTCCAACGTTTCTTTATTTTCTTGGAGTCTTACGTAAAGGTTTGACTTCAGTGAAACTACAGAGAGGTTTTTAAATCTCTCCTTCGTGGCTTTGTCTCTGAATCAAATCCAGTGTTGACAGCTATTATTCAGTGAGTTGGATTGATTTTTTGATTTTTTTTTTTACTTGGACTAGGACACACAACCTGAAGATAAGCTAGAACCTACACCTGGGAAAACTTTTGATTCCAGATCTCACACAAACTTGCTGGAACAAACGACACTTTCTGGTCCAAGTCATTAAAAAAAATGTTGAATCGAGTGCCCGGAGTTTTTTTTTAGGACCAAGTCCAAACCATTTATGAATATTGTACCAATATCCCAGATGAACTGAAGAGTTCGTCATGAGCCAAGTCACCTGCCCTGGAGCTCATTCATTTATTCATTCATTCATTCATTCATTCATTCACTCATTCACTCATTCATTCACTCACTCATTCATTCATCCATTCGCTCATTCACTCATTCATCCATTCATTCATTCATTCATTCATTCATTCATTCATTCATTCATTCACTGAACTAAAGTACCAGTAAGACGACGACGTGTCAGAATGAGTTCAACCTGAATCTGGAGACTCCGCTGTGTTTGGTCGGCGTTGCGGGCTGATTGTTGTATTAGTTTACGGGACCTTGACCTCCTAAAATTGTCTCACTTCATCTCGGGGTCCAAATAAAGACTGAACTGAATGAATCCCCTCCAGAGAGATCACATTTTCCACGACAGCGCGGTTAGACACCGAGAAAATGTCAGCGAGAAAGACAATACCAACGTGTGGGCAGCCGTAAACCCGGTAAACACAGAAAGCAATGAGGTGGAGGGGAAAACATTTGGAGGTCGAAACGTATGTCTGTATAAATATACGAAGGCAGGCGGCGGTGACAGTCACGCGCCGAGAGACGGCGAGAGGCAGGATGAAAGATGGGAGGATGAAATTAAAGAGGAATGCAGATGGAAATAGAGGAAGCCTGTGAGGCTGCTGGATATAGAGACGGTAACCTGAGAGACGATAACAGCGCCCTCCTTTCTAGTTGTAGTTCCTGCGCTCCTGGTATTTCTATCACCGACCGGCGCAGAGAGAAAGACTGCAGCTGTAACTCTACACCCGGTCGGTACAGGCAACAGGCTGTAAAGGCCCGACTGTATACAGTACAGTCAGGGAAATGAAGGGCCGAGAGCGGAAACCTCTGCTGAATGTGCTAACATTTATACGTCTCCATCAAAAAAAAAAAAAAAAAAAAACGTCAACGTCAACGTCTTTTCCCAGGAATTTTTGTCTTTCGTCTGGTCACGTATTACAAAACCATTATTGTCACCAAATGTGATGCGGGCTGACCTGCCTGAGGTCCAGATATGAATCACTACAGTGGAAATCCCAATGGTGATTTGACAGTTTTTCACAGGATGCCCTTCCTGATGGAACCCAGCCTCGGGCTGGAGGTGGGAGGAGGGGGGAGAGGGAGGTGGGTGGGGGGTGAGTTCCTGGAATCCCCCAACACTCAGGAAGTTCAGATTTTACATATTTAAATTTAGTTTTGACCTCATTTGGAAACAGTGGTAACTATGGACACAAACACTCAGTCAAACGAATACACACAACAGCAGCAGCAGCAGCAGCAGCAGCAGCAGCAGCAGCAGCATCACTGCCAGACCAGGGGATAAACACAGGGTATTCCCTCATCAGCCGTAGCTTCTGTTTGTGTCGACGGACTGGAAACAGGAAGAAAGAGGAAAGAGGAAGTCTCCGAAAAAGAACGAGGGAAGAGAGAGAGAGAGAGAGAGAGAGTAAATTACAGTTCTCCCTGTCAGTGTCTGCTGATGTCATGAAAAGTGTCCGACCACATGGCATTAGCCAGGACGCTCCAGCGCACTCAGACACTGAGACGTGGTATTAGCCGAGAGTGAGAGGTTTTTGCGCGACGACGTCACTGTACGGAAATAGAAAAAGGCAGAAACATGACGGGAAAAAACGACTGAGGCATGCTGGGATTTTTTTTTCTCTCTCTCTCTCTGAATTAATGAAAGGAATGTTTTCAGAAGAGGGAGAAGAGTGTGGGAGGGGAGGGGGGCAGAGCGTGGTGTGGTCTTTGAGTGTCTTAGCTGTGCCATCGCTCCCACCGTGGATCAAAGGCTGAGAAGTGGCTGAGTCTCAGCAGCATTAAGTCACTCTAAGCCCAGACGGAGGCCCGTACACATGCTGCCGCAAATAAAGCTGCCTGGGATTAGACCCACAATACCCACACTGAGTCACAGGCTGTCAGACCACAGTGGCCCAGGAAGTGGGCCGGACCACTTAGTCTTGGGGTCTTGATTTAATTTAGCAGAATAATGAAACTCAAACAAATTGAATTATTTCCTGTTCGGAGCAGGAAGTGTCAGACAAAAAACGCCAACTCTCAGTGAAAACTCACGTTCACGAGCAGCAGTTCGGGGTCATTACAAAAACCCTGACATAAAATGTCCTTGAAAAGTCTGGAAAAAAGGTGAAAAGAGAATCATTTAATAAAGAATAGGAGAAAAAAGTTTTGGCAAAAATATCCTGAAAGCCAAAAAACTTTTTTTTTTTTAACGTTAGACCTTCTCAGCTAACACGGTTCAGTTTCAGTAATATGTTAAAATTTTAACTTTTTTTTTTTTTTTTTTTTTTAGCTTTTTACATTTGATCCTTTATCAGTCCAAATGTCTCAGGAACAACAACAGCTCACGTTCTAACGGATTGTTTTGGCTCACGGCTCACGTTCTAACGGATTGTTTTGGCTAGTTTTAGCTTCTTTATTAAACTTTAGCGTAATTTTTTTTTTTTTTTTTTTCAGAAATTTACCTGTTGTTACATCTCGAGGTTATTTTTAACTTTAGGATGCAATGAATCTAAATGATTTAATGGCATTTTGCTCCGAGTCAGTGTCTAAACCTGAGACACTGCTTTTACGATTCAGAAATTTTCAATTGATTTATGGGAGAAAAAAAGAAAGAAAGAAGGAAAAAAAGAAGGAAATCAAGTGGAGTTTACTGTTGGAAACCGATCCATTCCAGATCAAGTACAGCGTCACCGTTAGACTCACAAACACCACGTGTAAAGTAAACAGTGTGGGAGTGTGGAACGCACTTAAACCAACAGTCACATTAGTGGTTGAAGGATGAAACGTGACACTTTGGACCAGGACTTCATAGAGTTGGCAGCAGAACGGGTCATACTGGGCCCCGCTGTAACAGACTGCAAAAAACACTGTAAATAAAAAGAGAGAGAGGATGGAGACAGAGATGTCACCGTGAGTTTAAGTTAATAAAAAAATATCTGAAAAGATTTATACAAATACAAGTATGAACAAAAAAGTTGCCCGTTGTGTCAGTGAGCTGTCAGAGTCGGAGTTAGACACCGAAGCATGGCAGCACATTCGAACCTGCCAACAGGACCTGTCAGCACCAATATAGTCCCAGGCTCACACAATGACACACACACACACACACACACACACACACACACCTACCAAAACAAAAGCCGCAGCCAGTGAAGGGTAAATCCATGGACGATGGCTTTAAATATCAATGTGATGAAAGGGTGAGGCTCCACGGACACGCAGGGGAAGACGGGACTGGAGGAGGGGGAGGGGGAGGGGGGGAGTGGGTGTAGCAGGGCGCAGGGTTCCGAGGGGGAACACGGAGAGAGGGATCAAAGGGGAATTTCTGAGCCGATCCCTTTGCAGGAGCGTTTGGGAGCCGACGGCTGTCAGCGGGGATGAGAACAAACACTGACAAACGTGTGGCACCGCAGGTTTACCACCACCACAGACGGGTGAGGAAAACTCACCTTCTCATGCTAACATGGCTCCTATTTGCCCCGCGAAATCGTTCGCCGGCATTTTAGACGTGGGGTTTTAGCATTTCCTGCGTACTTCGCGCACTAACAAAACAATTTCCTGGTTAAGATTTGTCTCTTTTGGCAAGATTTATTTACAAGCCTCAGTTGTTTCCTTTTGTTCTTCTGCACATTTTTAAACCATTTAAGCTAACGTCGAAAGTGTGCATGTTAGCTGTTGACCTAGCTAATGGTCAATAACTGACTAATAATAATAATAATTTATAACATATTATAATATATTACATATAAAATAATATTATATTTATAATACTAAGAATTCATTTTAGCTCTGGCTAATATTCTAATGTAATGTTTTGCTAACATTTGTCTATTTTTGCTTCATATTCATGAATTTGAGTAGGTCTTCGTTTTTGTTTGCCCCTTTGAAATTGATTCAATTGTAATTTTAGCTAATGCTAAGAGCTAACAAAGCTATTTTGGTTGACATTTAACTATATATTTTTTTAAAACAACTTATCCCTGACTATTATTTGGGTTGAATGAAAACATGTTTGATTTATATTTGGGTTAATTATTACCTCGTATCCTACGACTTTTAACTACTACATTCATGTGTCCTCGTTTTAACAAATAACTTGTATTCTCATTTTCCGTGTGAGTGTTTTGTTTTTTTTTTGTGTGTGTTTCCACAAAGGCGGTTGACACATAATATAATTAGCAGTCGCTCTTGCAGCACAGCGGCTGCCGCTTCCTGTGGACGAGGCAGAAGAAAAACAAGATTTTCCGCTAACGCTGAACATCTCCATTATTTTATTTGGTAAAACTGCACCTTTGTCTCCTAGAGACGTCACTATCTATTAAAAACATCTCTGTATTTGCATAGAACGCGTTTCTGTTCACCTGACACTTATAGGCCGACATCCAACCTACTTTCTGTTCTGTTAATGAAATCCTCAGGGAGTGTTATCTGTTCTGCAGTTAGCTGCTAACTGTGTCCGCATCACCACCAACACTGGATTACCTGGGTGGGTGATCAATAAACTAAGTAAACAGGTATTGATTATAGTAATATATGTAGTTTGATATTTGATTGAAATGCAAAATGTGTTCAAAACGTGGTCTGAGGGCCAAATGTGCCCCGTAAACAAGTTATTTTGCAGCCTGAATGTATTGCTGTTTTTATTATCTTTTAACATCCTAATTAACTGTTTTTTTTTTACATCTGTTTAGCTTATTACTCAGGGCTAACCTTTAGCTACGTTATCTGTTAGCGACGATACGTTTTTAACATTCAGGAAAATAAAAAATAAAGAGTGCTGTTTGCGTGGTAACTGAAATGTCATCTGATCTTTTCCTCACAATCTTCGTCACATTCTGCCAACATCCAATCGTAAACCTGACATTTTCAGCCTCCTCTGGAGAAAAGCAGTTGCAGATTGAATAAAATCAGTTTGTCGTGGCCACAAAAGCACCAATCGCTTTTTTTTTTTATTGTTGCCTTGAGCTTTTTTTGTTTTTTTTTTCCTGCTAAATGACATTAGCCTCAGTTTTCCGGCCTGATTGTCCTTCTCACACACTCCCCATTCACATGTTTTCTGTGGGAAGGTCGTGAAGGAGCCACGCGGCGAGAAGCTGCTTCTATTTTTGTGCCTCTGCCTCTTTTCCCATTGACTGGACTAATAAGTGATCACCTGGGTCATTTATCTTACGCAGTCCACACATAATGGGCTACACGGCTACGACAGAACGGCCAGAAAAATGTGCAAACAGCTGAAATGAATGTTCTCCGCTGACGAATGACCTCCGCGGGAAGTGAGAGAACAGAAGGAAGCAGAGAGCAGGAGACATCCTTTCAGAGAACTGACC